GCAATAAAACGTCTATAGTATGAGGCAAAACCCAAAAATGACCGTAGTTCGGCCAGATTGTTTGGTCTCTTCCACTCCCTTACTACTGCCACTTTTTCAGGATCCGTGGAAAATCCTTCGGGCGAGACCACATGACCCAAATACTTAACGCGTCTCTGAAAAAAGTTACATTTAGAGAGCTTTACCTTTAACCCCTCATTTTCTAATCGTGAAAGAATCTGCTCCAACCGTTCAAGGTGCTGTTGTACTGATGATGAAAACACAATCAAATCATCGAGGTACAACAGGACAGACTGATGACGGTAATCTCCAAAAATGCGTTCCATGAGCCGCTGAAAAGTGCTTGGTGCATTACATAAACCAAAAGGCATACGATTGAACTCAAATAATCCAAAAGGGGTGCAGAATGCAGTTTTTTCCCTGTCTTTTTCAGCCATCTCCACTTGGCTATAACCACTAGCCAGATCTAATGTGGAGAACCACTGGGCCCCAGCCCAAGCATCCAAAGACTCATCTATCCTGGGGAGAGGGAACGCATCTTTTCTTGTTTTTGCATTTAATAGCCTATAGTTTACGCACATTCGCAGCGTACCATCCTTTTTTAACACCATAACTATTGGTGAGGAATATGGACTGCAACTCTCACGTATTATCTGACTTTGTAACAATCGTTTGATGTGACTACGGGCAAGCTCATACTGTGAAGGAGGAATTCGTCTGTGTGGCTGCCGAACAGGAGTTTCATCGAGTAAGGGAATTTCATGCTGTATCAGGTCAGTACACCCTACGTCTAGATCATTTAGTGCAAACACACCACTATATTTTGATAACAGGGCTTTCGCTTGTTTACGCTCAAATTCCTCCAGATTTCCAAACTCTGGTAACACAAGCTCAGATTCATTAGAAGTCTCTTTATTATCAATAAAAGCTGTACTGCTCTGCAAATCCACAACAACTTGAATCTCTGACTGTTCTCCAAATATAACTTCAGCAGTCTGAACTGTGGCAATTATTCTGCGTGGTGTTAACCATACATCGATTGTACCTACATTTGTGACTGGGACAAATACCCTCCCTTCTTCTGCTTTAACTAAGGAAGGTGAAACCAGCAGCCCTTCGCGCAGAGCAGAGTGCTCAGGTCCAAGAGGCTCAACCATAAACTCTATGGACTTATTCAGTGATGCCTGTGGGCAGGTTACAGGGACATATTTAAGACTTCCTGCTGGGATACATAGCGGTTTCTTACCCTGCACTCTCACTGGATGCGGATTTTTTTATGTGCTGTATATATTCATCCTCGGGCTGACTGTACAGCTGCACTGAATGACTTAAGTGACATTTTGCATAAACATGAAGCTGCTCACCCCAATGCTGTGATTATAGTTGGTGGTGATTTTAACAAATGTAACTTAAAGTCTGTATTACCGAACTTTTATCAGCATGTGAGTCAGCCTACCAGGGGAGCTCACATCCTGGATCACTGCTATAGTAACGTGAAGGCAGCTTACAGGTCCAGTCTCAGACCTGCTTTTGGGAAGTCTGATCACTCTGCTGTTCTCCTTCTGCCTTCTTATACACAGAGGAGCAAACAGCACAAACCTACTTCCCGCACTGTGCAGTGCTGGTCTGAGGAGGCTAACATGAAGCTGCAGGGCTGCTTTGATGCCACAGACTGGTCTGTTTTTAACTCTGAGAATGTTGATGAATTCTGTGAGGCTGTGACAGGATACATACAATTTTGCATTGATTGTTGTGTCCCCTATAAAATTATCAAAGAACACTCCGGCCAAAAACCTTGGATGAACACTGATGTCAAACTTAGAATCAAGGAGCGGACACTGGCGTTTCAATCCGGTGACGAGGGCGCTTACAAGCTGTCCTGCTACGCTGTGGAACGCTCTATAAAAGCTGCTAAGCGTTCCTATGGGGACAGGTTAGAGGGCTTCTTTGGGGAAGAGGACCCCCGACGCATGTGGAAGGGGATCAGTCTTATCACGTCCTGGAAACCAAGTGCAGGGAAAATTGCTGCTGGCCAAACTCTGCCAAACGAGCTCAACGACTTTTACTGCCGCTTTGAATCTGCTGATCCCCTGCCTTTTGTCTTCCCCGAATGTCAGGGTGCCTTCACAGTGACTGAGGATGAAGTACGGCGGGTCTTGTCCAGGACCACAGCTCGGAAAGCCGCAGGCCCGGACTGCATTCCTCCCCGCGTCCTGAAACTGTGCTCCGAGCAACTTGCCCCTGTTTTAACGGACATTTTTAACTTGTCACTCAGGAGCTGTACGGTGCCGGTGAGCTTTAAAAGGTCCACCATTATTCCAGTTCCTAAGAAGTCTCCAGTGACATGTCTCAATGACTACCGCCCTGTGGCTCTCACGTCTGTTCTTATGAAGACTTTTGAGCGGCTCGTGCTGGAGTTTATTAAGAGCCAGATCCCTGTGAGTGTTGACCCGCTCCAGTTTGCTTACAGACAGAACAGGAGTGTGGAGGATGCCATCTCCTTTGCTCTGAACTCTGTCTACACTCATTTGGACACTAGTAAATCTGTCGCGAGAATGCTGTTCATTGATTATAGCTCTGCTTTTAATTGTCTTGTCCCAAGCATATTGGTTGAAAAACTAATGTCCCTTGGTCTGAATGTTGCCATGTGTAAATGGATTTTTAGCTTTTTAACTGACAGATCTCAGAGAGTAAAAATCAATGACTGTTTTTCTGATGTTGTTTCTGTGAGCACTGGTTCTCCTCAGGGATGTATTTTGAGTCCCCTGCTTTTTACTTTGTACACTCACGATTGTGTGTCCTCCTCTGACTCAAATCTGATCATCAAATATGCTGATGACACCACCATCATCGGTCTCATCAGTGACAATGATGATTCCTCTTATAGAGCAGAGATCGAACATGTTTTTCAGTGGAGTAAAGTAAACAATCTCCAGCTGAACACTGCAAAAACATGTGAACTTGTCTTTGACTTCAGTCATAGCAGTTCTCACACTCCTGTTGTTATTGACAACTCCCAGGTGCAGATCGTAGAGGAGTGCAAGTTCCTGGGCTTAACTCTGTCTAACGACCTGAAATGGGCTAAAAACACTGACCGGGTCGTAAAGAAAGCCCGTCAGCGTCTTTACTTCCTGCGGAAACTTAGAGAATTTACCACTAACTCTAAGATTCTGCTGAACTTTTATCGCTGCACCATTGAAAGTTTACTTGTTGGTTCTGTGTCTGTGTGGTTTGGAAACATCACAGATAAAGAAAAGAGAGCTTTAAACAAGGTGCTCCGCTCTGCAAAGAGGACCGTGGGCTGTGAGCTTCCTGTTCTGGAGGTTCTTTACAAATCCAGACTTTTAAACAAAGCTCTTAAAATCATCGGTGACTCTTCTGGCCACCCTGGGAAAGCCATGTTCCAGCTTCTTCCCTCTGGCAGAAGATACCGGTCACTGAGATGCAAGACATCTCGCTATGCTAACAGCTTCTTTCCACAGGCTGTTAGGTGCCTAAACAGAGCATTTTAATTCCTGCTTTTACCTGCTTTTAAACTGCTTTTACCCCTTGTATTGTTTTGTCGATCGGTGCCACAGTGTCAGCTGTTTTTTTTATTATTTATTATTTTATATTCAGTGTATGTGTATTTATATTACATTGTATCGTGCTTTTTATTCTGTCGGTGCACACAGAGTACCTCTTTTTGCATGTATTTCCAATGTAGTTTTACTGCACATGGCCAATAAAATGAATCTGAATCTGATCTGGAGAACCAGCCATAGCCTCCATCATCTGGCAGTACTTCAAGATTTTCCTCAGCCCAGGAGTCGCAGACTGGATTATTGGCGCCTCCCACAGGTCAGAGCCAAATTGCTTAAACAGTTCAAAGTAGAGACAGTTGAATATATTCATACCTAAAACCCCTGGCACAGCTGCTTTCTTCTCCCGCATATAACTGTCAGAAGAGTCCTTTACAATTAGCACCCCACAACGGGGCAAGGACACACCCAAAATATGCATCTCTAACTCAATGTAACCCAGATATGGGATTTTCAGACCATTCGCTGCTTTTAATCCCAGCCAACTACAATCTTTCAGGTCTGATTCAGACAAATCAGAAAAGTGTGTGTTAAAATAACTCTCAGTTAGAGTAGTGACCATAGACCCACTGTCTAATAAACATGGAACACAAACCCCAGCAAAGTCAACCTCAGCTTCCACGCACTGTCCAACAAGGTTAGGTAAATCAGAGTTAATATTAGAGCCCATTTTTCCCCCCACCAATGTTTGACTCTGCACACTGGCGGGATCTAGTTTTCCGGAGACTTAGGCTGGTTCTGACGAGACACATTTTCACTGCGAGAATTAGTTGGACAATTCCTTGCTATGTGCCCGCTCTGCTCGCACCGAAAACAAATGGGCCTTCCATCTGTGGATCGCCTGGGCCCGTTATAGCGTGCTCTCGCTGGAGGGAAACTTTGAGGGGTCAGTGCTTTAACAACCAAATCCAACTGAGTTTGCTGCGCTTTCAATAAAGACATTAATTCACTACATTGAGAAGAACCAGTAACACTTTCACAAGACACACCCATTTCCTGAGACACTGTACTATAATCACATCTCGGTTTATTTTGAACCCCACATTGAGCCATCCATTTGGTAGCTTCAACTCTTGCCTCGCGGATAGTCCAGTCAGGATGAATATTCACCAAGTCCCTCAGTCTTATTTTTAAACTTTGATCTCTGACCCCGTCGATGAACTGATCGCGCAGATCTTTCGACGCTGCTCGAGACGCTACTTGCGCGTCACTTTTGACAATCGAGTCCATTAAATCCATCAGCGAGTGAGAGTATGCAATTAATGACTCACCATCATGTTGTTTGCGATTATAAAACCGTCGCTGCAATAGAATGTGGGAGTGCATACATCCATAGACTTCTTTCAAAACCTCAAAGATAGAGTCCATACACTCCCGCTGTTCTCTCTGTAGGAACTTTATTTCCGTGCGCGCAGCTCCCTACAGATGATCAAACACAATTTGTGGACGCTCCTTTTCCGTGGCTCCTCTGGTTTGGGCAAAGAGTCTTATTTGTTCTATCCACTCGTCTAGAGTCAATGATTCATTACCATCAAGTTTCCCCGAAAACAAGGGCAGCTTTCGGTCTTGCTGCACATATATGACAGGAGCCTGCCTCATTGGGAGAGCAGATGCGCCACTTGTTCCTCCGGTGCAAGTGGATGGAGTTTCAGAGTCCGGGCTGGCCTCACGGAGCACCGCCAGCTCATTTTCCAATTCTTTGATGCGCTGCGCCATGGCCTGCTTCTCCTCCTCGTCATTCATGGCCGGGAGAACGCGTTCACAAAGGCCAGTCACCGTTACCACCAGCGCACCTGCTCCTGCTGTCCTCAGTGAATTTTATAAAACAGGTAACTTCTCTTATACTTGTCAGCAACGCCAAATGTTACCAGAGCCAAATGTTACCAGATAAGTAGACATGCAAAAACTGGTATGAATATTTACAGTATTTATTTTATTACTATGAAGGAGAAGTGACCCAAAATATAAAAGTTAGACGCCTTTACAAGGCTCTGAATGTTAATGAGCTAGGCTGAATAACAGAAATGAAAATACACTCAAAAGGACAGCAGGCAGCAAATATTAAAACCACTGTAAAACAGAAAAACACAAGACCCTTAATATCTTAAACAAAACTTTAATCATTTAAAAACCTGTTAAAAACTTGCTACCTGTGCGTCGCAACCCCCACACACACAGCTCCACACAGATATTTGCCCAATGGCAAACAGCAAGGCCTCCCGTAACTTTGGCCAAACACGCACACACAGATGGGCCCAGCAAACACTCTGGCCGCCCACGGAAACTGGCACCTGTCTGGCACGTAGCCAACTTCCTATTTTAAGGCTGACACCAGCGACACCCACTGGTGACACCCGTTACAAAAAGAAAGCTCCTGGTGCCAACATCCACACGGTGGAATTCCTTTTTTGATGCTGTGAAGAGAATTTCAGAAATACCCATGAGTGAGCTCAATACTCTGTGCACCAAGCTGGGAGTTAAAAGCTTCAAAGACAAAGAGTACCAATTCCTTCATGAGTACTGTACTGCCACAAAACCTCTGTCTGTAGCACTGGACATTTTGCAAGGCGACTGTCCTTATGGGACTTTACTGCCCACACTTGAAGTTCTGATGCAAAAGACCCTGGCTGTGAAAGATGACCTCTCCAGGATGACTGCAGGCATTCCAGATGTCATAGTGCAGGTATGTTTAAGCATCTTTAAGCATGTTTTCTTCCATCTTCTTAATTTCTTATTCTTACACTAGTCATGAACATTTAACAGAGTAGTAATTTTCATTGTAAAAGAAGATTAAAACAAAATACATGTCAGCAAGTAACCTAAAACATAATTAAATGTATATTATTGATCTCACATTAGGCAGAACTTCTAATTAGTGGGCCTTGTAGGCATAAACATACATTTTTTACTTTTTTTTTTTTTCAGGCTATACAGACTCGTTTTGCTGATGTGCTAGACGACAAAGATGCCCTTCTTGCAGCGGCCAGTTGTCCAAAATTCAAACTTCGATGGTTGAGAGATGCAGGTAGGAGAGAGCAAGTTAAAGAGCTTCTGACAGCAGAGTGCCGCATCACTTCGCCTGCAGCACGGAGCCCTGCAGGTGTACCCACCACATCTGTCAGCCAAGGTGAGATGGACTTTTTCACCTTTGAGGCTGAGCTAGAGGAGACCTACTCTGCAGAACATGAAGTCATGGACTACCTGAGGTCAGCCTATGACCTTCAGATTCTGCATCAGTTTTCCAACATAAAGAACATTTTCTTAAAGTATAACACTCCAACTCCATCAAGTGCTCCTGTTGAGCGGCTTTTCAGTCTGGGAGGTTTGGTGCTCACGCCTAGAAGAAATAGACTTTGTGACAAGAGGTTTGAGAAGCTTCTGTTAATGAGGTATAACCACTGGTTTTCTGGCCCCACTCCATTGTTTTACTCATAATATGATTAAAGCCTAACATTAGGCCAAAGAAACAAAAGTAGACTTTAGATATTACATGTGGTGGTGGTGTTATACACTTGTTTTGTTTTGTAACACCACTCCTAATGCTGTTCCTAAATGTTAACAGCTATGGATGTTGAGTAAAGAAAGTTTTTTAAAGTTTATGTTCAGTGAAGGCAAGTCAAGAGTCAAGACAAACTATTTTATTATTTATGAAAACAAGTCTTTAAGTTAAGTGAATTGAAGGAAGACTGTCTTTATTTTATATTTTATTTTAAATGTATTTATTTTAAGTCAAGCCAGACTGTATATTTTATTTTATAAGAACAGTTATTAAGTTCAACTTAAATTGTCAGAAGATGCATTATTGATGTTACTGATAAAATGCACTGACAATAAATCGAGTATTTGCAAAACCAGTTGTCCTTGTTTGTTGAGGCAGTGGAGGCTTCGTTGGAAGTTGGTTAATGTAACTTGTAAAGTAACTTGCAATGTAACTTAGTTACTTTTAAAATCAAGTAATCAGTAAAGTAACAAAGTTACTTTTTATTGGAGTAATCAGTAATCCATATCGGATTACTTTTTCAAGTAATCTGTGGCAACACTGGCCCTCACTGACGCATATAACATCCCTATTAAGTCTTGTATATAATACCTGGGTGTTAATGTAACTAATGACGCAGCCACTAGTGAAACTTTTATTATACTGGCCAAAATCGATCAGTGTAAAACTAAACTAAACTCATGGCTTCAACGAGACTCAACGGTCTTTGGAAGAACATGTTTGACAAAAATGGAATCTCTAGCAAGATGTATTTATCCACCCTACTCCATGGATATACCAGAATAATCAATACAAGACGTAAACAAACTAAGTTTTATCTATATCTGGAAAAACAAAGTGCACTATATTAAAAAATCTGAAGCTGTTAAAGAATATGAAGAAGGTGGACATCAAGCAATCAATTTTGAATGCCAAAGACTGTATTAAAAATGAAATGGCTGAGATCTTTTTTGACAGAAAAAAATAGTGTCTGTTTCTGTCTCTCCAGGTCTATTTGGAAAAATTGGAGGTATTGAGTTTGTCCTTAGATGATTTTAATGCTGATAAATTGCCAATTAAAGTGATTGTCTGGAGTTTGTCAGAAAGAGAGACAGAGAGGTGCTTGATTTGAAAAAAAAAAACGACGCAAGCTCCCTCCCCCTTCCTTTCTGATTGGTCTACACCTACGTTTCCGTAACACTTTTTAAATGTTCACCAGAGAACAAATTATACATATACATTATTAATACACATGCACGGAGGTTTTCAGAATTATTTGTTAACGTTTTAATGAAAAAAATTATGTTTTTATGCACAAAAAAAGCGATCGCGGCAAACCCGGAACAAGCTATTATCATGAATTACACATTATATTCGATTGGTTAAGCTCGACGGCACCGTGGATTCTGAACTATAGCTAAGAGAAGGGAAGGCGGGTCTTGTCCGTAATATTAGAATTAATAAAATGACTTATTTTATATCAACATTTAAGGCCAGGAGGTCAATTTAACACATTTCCTAAAATTTGAAATTCATTTAGAGTTACAGACTATCACTTTAAGTTGTCATCCTTTCATAAACAAGTCTTATTAAGCTGGAAATTCATGTACATTCACAATTTCACCCCTCATCAAACACCACTATGGAAGAACAGATATGCCCTTTGTAATAGAAAATATGTTTTTCTGCAGAACTGGATGGATTAAGGAGTGTGGTCACTGCGTCACCTACTGGATGACCAAGGGAACTGGTTATCATTTGAAAACTTCTGCACCCTTCACAAGTTGTAAATTTGATTTAAAAAAGATTTTATGTATTTGTATGAGTGATTATGAAGGACCAAAATTCATTAAACATTTATTTGACTTTATATAAAGCAAATGAATGCATTTGTTTATATACAGTGAGGTCTAAAAGTATTTAGACACCTACAATTTGGCAAATTCCCACTTAAAAATTAGGGAGAGGTCATAATAGATGTATTTCCACTGTTCGAGACATAATCTAAAAAAACAATCCAGAAATCACATTTTATGGTTTATCTGTACGTTACTGGGGTTCATAAGTATTTGAACACATGAGAAGCCAGCCGTCCACCTTTACCCCACTCGTGCAGCCCACAGTCAAGGTTCCACTGCTACTTATGGGCAAGACCAAAGAGCTGTCAGCAGAGACTATTGACAAAATTGTAGAGCTCTTCAATGCTGGAAAAGGCTCTGGGACAATTGGGAAGCAGCTTGGTGAGAATAGATCAACTGTTAAAGCAATGGTTAGAAAATGGAAGGGGCTAAACATCACTGCTAATCTACCTTGGACTGGGGCTCCATGTAAGATCTCTCGTCTGATCTAAGTCCTGGAAGTGATGGGCAGACGGGTGAATTCAATAAAGAATTTAAGCAATCTCTTATTCCAATCTTACTAAAGGCCTATATTTATGCCCTCCATGAAAAATCCTGGGCGTGTTCAACTCAGTCATTGCAGTCATACACAAAGAAGGTAAAGATCCATCTAAGTGCAATGGGTACAGACCAATAACACACTCGGGGCAATAGTTTTATTCATGAAAATGAAGATCAAGGACTAATACGCCGAAAAGGCTTTTGATTGAGTTGAGTGGTCTTTTACCTTTGATTCAAGCATAAGTTTTGGATGTTGCAAGACTCTCTTTTTTGAAAACTATGTATAATACCTCAAAAGCACAGGTGAAGGTTAATGGAGTACTATCAGATACATTTGAACTGGGACATGGGATTAGACAAGGGGACTGTTATTAGTCTGCATTCACCTCATGCATAGAGGCACTTGGGGGTAGCAATTAGAAACCATGATTGATATCGCAAAGAAAACACAAACTTTCCATGTATTTCCATGTACTTTCCATAAGACAGCAGAAAAACATTCCAGGTATTACCATAGGTGAGACCACACACAAAGCCTGCTTTGCTGATGATGTCCTCTAACACTATCCAATCCTGAAGTCAGTTTACCCAAACTCCTGTCTTTGCTTCAGGAATTCTGCACATATTCTGGTTGTAAGCTTAATTTACAAAAAACTCAGACAATATAATTTAGTAACCAACCTTCACCAGAGATTCGAAAGATAACAATCTTAAATTGGAAGAATGATACCATAAAGTATTTACGAATACACATACCGAGAGCTGCCTCTCCACACTCAGTGGCTGTCTCAATGTGAAGTCAGACGTCATGTTGATGAACTAGTCCTCTTCTGCAGAGCTGAAACCAGTTGGAGCTGGTGCATTGA